AGTGTATTCAAAAAGAAGGGCCCAGTCCATCAGCTGTGCTTTCAAAACAACCCCTTAAATGATTACAACAATCTTGCAGTCTTCCCCCAGAATAAAAGCAAACGTCCTGCCCTTTGTACTTCCCAAATGTAAAAAATTATCTTGCTTCACTTCCACTGTCAGGGTGAACAAAGGGTTCATCAAAGGAAGCTCTGACAGCAGGGACATGGCAGAGGAGGCTAAAGGGGAATCTCTCTGACTTCTGAACTGGTCTTGCTGTCAGGTCCAGCTGGTGGGTCCAGACAGCGAGGCCAGCATTCTATCATGAAAAAACACAGCTGCAACAGATGAACGCAGAATTCTAGCCAGAGCAGATGGCTGTGGGTAAATGCTAATTAATATTAAATGACACCAGATGATCATGAGTAACCGATGTAAGGGTCAGGCTAAATAGTTTACTTCCTTTGTCACTTTTTTTTTTTCTAACAAGCCCAACTTACTTGTTTGGGGATTCTACATATTTTCATATGTTTATTTTCATCAGCCAAAAACCTTAAAGTCTTCATAGTAAGGATCTCTAGTGCAGTAGGAGAGAAAATAGAGTGCATTCATCACATATTCGCCCCAGCTCCTACTTGGGCAGACCTGGACACAGGCCTCTGGCTTCTCCCATCTTTGATGTCTTCAATCATGACCCTGAGCTCCCTCTTCTTCATAGTCACAGTTCCAAGATTCACTCTATATAAAGGACTCCCTCACCTCCAGCCTCAGGCACCCAAAAATGTAATCCAAAAGGTACAGCCAGTCATGCAATGTCTAGCACAGTAAACTCAACACTTGCAAAACTGAACTTCACATCTTCCCCTCTTCCCCTAGAAACTAGCACTTTTCCCATGTATATTCTTTCAGAAGTCCAGGTACCTTTTCACTTCTCTCAACCTCTATTCTGTCTACCCCATCTCCATCAGTCAGCAGGTTTGGTCAATTCTTTCTCTGCGGTGCATTCCATCTGCCCTTTACCCAGTCATGCCTATCACCAGCTACCCAGTCTGACTCTTACAACCTCAAAGACAGCAAGAGCTTGCTCACAGGTGTCCCTGCCTGTGGTCTCTCCCCATTCATAACATGATAGATGCAAGATTCAAAACTAGGACTGACTCTAAAGCTGCTCCCTCGACTCCTCAAAAAAAACCCCTCCAGTCCTCCAATGCCTATCATTCAAAGTCCAAACTCCCTAACCCCTCAGTTCAAGTTTTCCTAAACCTAACAATCCAACATTGCCAAAGTTCCTCCTTCACTCACATGGGTGACATCCCTGACCCCATCAAATGTGACACATTTCCACATTGGTGTCAATTATTCTTCCCAACCAAAATGGCCTTCTCCTCGTTCCATGCTTATCTAAATCTCACTTCTTTCGGCTGGGCGTGGTGGCTCACACCTGTAATCCTAGTACTTTGGGAGGCTGAGGCAGGTGGATCATCTGAGGTCAGGAGTTTGAGACCAGCCTGGGCAACATGGTGAAACTCTGGCTTTACTAAAAATACAAAAATGAGCCAGGTGGGGTGACGCACGCATGTCTGTAGTCCCAACTACTCAGGAGGCTGGGGCAAGAGAATAGCTTGAACCCAAGAGGTGAAAGTTGCAGTGAGCCAAGACTGTGCCGCTGTACTCCAGCCTGGGCAGCAGAGCAAGATTCTGGCTCAAAAATAAATAAATAAATAAATAAAAATAAAACCTCACCTCTTTCATGACCTAGTTCAAACTATACCTCCTAAACTCCTACAGCAATTATTCACAAGTTATTTAGAAATTAAGTACTGTGACTATGACATCCTATCTGTTATCATCTTGAATTTAAATTCATAGTAGGGAACCCTCATATATTGCTGGTGAGAATTTAAAATGGTGCAGCCACTTTGGAAACAGATTGGCAGCTTCTTAAAAAAACTAAACATAAAATTACCATTTTTACTACAGATTCCTAGGTACCTACCCAAAAGAAATAGAAACTTAGATTCACACACAGACTTGCATGCTAATGTTCAAAGCAGCATTATTCATAATAGCCAAAAAAATGAAAACTTAAAATGTGTCATCATGTGATGAATGTATAGATGTCATCATGTGATGAACGTATAGATAAAATGTGAAATATCTGACCAGGCACAGTGGCTCACATCTGTAATCCCAGCACGTTGGGAGGCTGAGATGGGCAGATCACCTGAGGTCGAGTTCAAGACCAGCCTGGCCAACGTGGTGAAAATACAAATCTCTAGTAAAAATACAAAAACACAAAAATTAGCGCGGCATGGTTGTGCATGCCTATAATCCCAGCTATTCAGGAAGCTAAGGTAGGAGAATTGCTTGAACCCAGCAGGCAGAAATTGCAATGAGCCAAGATCGTGCCACTGCAGTCCAGCCTGAGTGACACACCAAGCAAGACTCATCTCAAAAAAAAAAAGAAAAAAAAATGTGGAATATCCAAACAATGGAATACTACTTTGCAATAAATAGGAACAGGCCAGGTGCAGTGGCTCACACCTGTAAATCCCAGCACTTTGGGAGGCTGAGGTGGGCAGACCACAAGGTCGAGAGATCAAGACCATCCTGGCCAACATGGTGAAACCCATCTCAACTAAAAATACAAAAACTAGCTGGGCGTGGTGGCACGCACCTGTAGTCCCAGCTACTCAGGAAGCTGAGGGAGGAGAATCACCTGAACCTGGGAGGTGGAGGTTGCAGTAAGCTGAGATCATACCACTGCACTCCAGCCTGGCAACAGAGAGAGACTCCATCTCAAACAAAAGGCGGGGAGGAGGGACAAACTAATGTATGTTATGAACCTTAAAAACATTATGCTAAGTGAAAAGACACAAGAGATCATACACTGTAGCAGTCCATTTCTATGAAATGTCCAGAAAAGGCAAATTTATAAAGATGAAAATTAGATTAGTGTCATCTAGGGCTGGCAGCAGGAGCAGAGATATTTTGGGGAGATAAAAAGTTCTAAAACTGATTTATGGTGATGCTTCCACCACATGGTAAATTAAATCACTGAATCGTACACTTCATATGGGTAAATTTTATATGTGAATGTATTTCAACAAAGCTGTTAAAAATAAATCATAGTAGGCACTCAAATGTTAGTTGAATATTTAACCTCTTACCTGTTTCATATCTTTTCTCACCACTTCCTCCCCTGCAACTAGAGCTAAACATCTTGAAGGTGAGGACCCAGCCTATTTATTTTCATGCTCATTTTTATGATGAACCACACTTAGCCCAAAGTTAAACATACACTGGGTGCTCTCAACTATTTGTGGATTTGACATTTGCCTTGTCAGGCTATGAAGTGATTCCATGCAAGAGCATCCAGGAAGAAATGGTCTGTTTGAATGTCGAGCCAGAACAACTGGGTTCTGAATCGCAGCTTTCATTTCACAGCTATGAACTCACAGCAAGTTAATTGCCCTCTCTAAGCCAAGTCTAAAGTAGGGAAAATGGTAGTAGCTACCTCATAGAGTGGTTGTAAGGACAAAATGAGATAAATAGATAAAATGCTGGGCCCAGTGCTTGGAACACGGAGACCTCATTGAATGTTGGCTTAAAATACTCATCAACACGAACCCAATGCAAATGGACACACTCTGGAGAACTCTGTCAGACGGGAGTGGTCCTGGGGCACTCTTCCCTCCCAAGCCAATTGGTGTTTATGGAAATATTACTACTATAAATTTTACAAACTAAACATCCCCCCAAACTTCAGTATTTGTCCATCCATCCTGACTTTCATCCTGCAAGATAGGATTTCACTTCCTGACCCCCTTGTGGTTTAGCAGGGCCGCACGTCTAGCTCTAAACAATGAATTGAGGCTGGGTGTGGTGGCTCACACCTGTGCTCCCAACACATTGGGAGGCCAAGGTGGGAGGATCACTTGAGCCCAGGAGTTTGAAACCAGCCTGGGCAACATAGCAAAACCCTGTCTCTGTAAAAAAATTTTAAAATTAGCCAGGCATGGTAGCATGCACTGTAGTCCCAGCTATTAGTACTAGGGAGGCTGAAGTGGGCAGATCACTTGAGCCCAGGAGGTGACGGTTACAGTGAGCCCAGACTGCACTAATGCACTCCAGCCCAGTGACAGTTGTAAGAGTGATCAGATCATGTGTTTGTGCAAGCCACTCCACAGCTCCCTCCCTCTCCCATTACAACTAGCAATGGTCTAGTTAGTGGCTGCTGTCACCCTACATAAGGACAACATGGAGCAGATCCCCAACTAAGCTGCACTGAAGAGGGAAGACAAGTGAGAAATAACATTGTTCTTTGCCTGTGAGCTCCAGCGGTGTCACCACAGGATAACCTGACAGATCAGTCACGGAGCTCCCAGGCTGTAGATTATTTTCAATCTCGCAACCAAAAACTTAAAACCCTTTATTCCCTGGCTTTGGAAACAAGCCACTCTTCTCATTCTGTTAACCTCTCTGACCATTACTCCACTTCCTCACAGACTCTATTTCCTCTGCTTACCTTGTTAAGCCATGCTGTTAACCGAGAATTTGTCCACAGCTTGTGACTCTTATTCCACATGCTCTCCAGGGAGCTCTTACCCACTTTTGATTTATCCATCTGGCTGCGCCACAGTGTCATAAATCCGGCACATTCAAAAGCAAATGTAGCAGCTGCCCAGCCTCCTCCAAACATTCGATCTTGCTACACTCCTCACTTCAGCGAATGGCACCAAGCTTGGGCCAGAAACCTGCCAGTGATGCTAGATTTCTCCCTCTCCCATCCCGTCTCGCCCCACTGCCTGCACCCAGTTCACTCATTCAACCAACCAGTCCCGGCAATTTTACCGACTTCAAATGTTATTGCCGTTGTTGTTGTCCAGTGGAAGGGACATTGTTTATTTTTGCTTGTTTGATGCTTATTAGATACTAAAAAAAACAAATTACTTCAAGCTCAGGGAAAGTATTATTTCGGTATCAGCCCTGACGGTGATGCTTTATCTGAAAAGGACAAATTAGTCCAGACCAAGAAACAAGCAAGCTTTAATTTCTGAGTACACAATTATTGCTACGCCAGTAGCAACCTGCATCTTTGTCTTATCTCTTCAGCCTCTTAGAGGTCTCAAGACACTGTCAAAGCTTTCCTTTAAACTCCCTTAAGCATTACTTATATTATTCAAGTTTAAGACACAGCAAATCTACCCAAGTGTATATGGCTGGCTCACTTCTTATAAATGAATCCATTAGAAAGTGTCCCCTAATTCAACACTATTTTCTCTAACCTGCTTGATTTTCTAAAAGTGGAAAAAATAATTCTGGTGTACCAAAACCAGAGCCCAGGTTTTTTGTCATTTTGTGTGTGTTTTTTTTTTTAGCCAAGATGGTCTTGATCTCCTGACCTGGTGATCCACCCACCTCAGCCTCCAAAGAGCCCAGGTTTTTCAACATCTTCAGTTAAATGATCTTTAATTCCCCAATCAAGTTATAACACACAAATGTTATCTGCGCTTTACAGCATAAAACTCTGAGCAGCTGGTGTCTTTTGGATGGTGTAACCATTACACAGCAGTATATGCTTGTCACCCTGGTCTTCTTTAGCCTCAAAAAATATTCAGAATTTGTTATCCACACGGAAGAGTTCTTATAGCAGCACACTCAGTTACAAAAAGACCAAAAAAATTTTTATTGCTTTACAACAAGCCAGCAACAAACACAACTGAATAATTATAAACATGACACTTCTAAATCCTCAAATGGAATTCCAAGACCAGAGTGTGCTTCTCCATGTAAATTGCATTTGTTAAAACTAAAATCCACAACCTCTGGCAAGTACTTCAATATTCTCAAGCAGAATCAATACTTAAAGAGGGGGAAAAAAAACCCTATTATCCAACTTATTGCCTTATGTGTGATAATATAATTAGCCTTTCATGCTTGATCCTGGCAGTGCTATTACCACACATTTTAAGTGACCATCATGGGCACTTTTAAGAACCTAACACTTTTGTCTTCCTACAAACTTCACAAAAAGAGCTGTCAAGAAAATTGTTCTAAAATCCCAATGCACAGTAACTCATGTCTCCTTTTAACTTCTTTCCTCTCGATGGAAAAACGTAGTCAGCCTTTAACTTGGGGCCTGATAAAAGCTGTGAAGGCATGCCAAATAGCCCCTCACACAAACAGGAAGCCCAAATTGTTGATCAGGTAAGAAAAGGTGACACTGTTAGATACTTCATATTATTTTGAAGAGCACTTTCCTTTCTGTGGGTGCAAAATAACTATGGATTAAGTCACCATTTTAATCATCTTAATTCAATAACAAGAGTTTCCTGGCACATACTTTTAGTACTACCTGAAAATTGGGGCATGGGGGAAAGACCACCAGCAGTATTTACATGACTTGCCTCAAACTGTACATTTAAAACCTGACTGTTGGGATAAGTCACCAACAACCTGAAATTTCCTACTCTAAAACACATTACCAAATCCCACTGACTTATTTTGTGTGTGCTTTTGTGTTTTATATTTTCATATAGAGATGGGGTCTCACTCTGTTGCCCAGGCTGGTCTCAAACTCCTGAACTCAAGCTATCCCCCTGCCTCGGCCTCCCAATGTGCTGGGATTACAGGTGTGAGCCACCACACCCGACCTGGTTTATTTATAATGCACTATTTTATCTTTCTTCCAAAGAAAGCATTTTTCTCTAACAATATAATGGTCAGGATTTTGCTTATTAACTTACGTGGGTGGCTTTATACTCTCAGATGAAATGATCTTGCTGACTGCTGGGAAAAAGGTTTTATAGTTTAGGAATATATCACATAACGTGTTAGTTCCAAATGTACATGAAGACAATTTTTAATTGCTGCAATAGCAGAACATTAAGGCAACATCAGAAAGCAGAGGTGTTTTAAAACACTAAGCCCTACTCCCTGCCTGGTGGAGAGCCAAATAATAAGATGTTACTAAATCCCTTAATACAAAAACCTTCCAAAATAATCTGTTGAACTTGACTTTGCAGTTTAATCTTTTATATTTTGATGGCAGTGAGAGAGAACGTGGGGCTATAATTCCCTTGGCAAAAAAAATTCACCATCTCATTTACTCACAATGCTTAAAATAAGGAAGGGAAAATATAAAATAAGTTTTCCTTGCTTGGCAACCATCTTTTTAATTATCTGTGTTATTATACTGTATCCAGGCTATGCCTGGGTGTGGATGGCTAAGTTGGATATAGAAAATATCAAGCATCACATCTGGAAGAATCACAAACGAGACAAAGAACTTCTCAATCAGTACATCAACAGTCATGGTAGGCAAGAAAAGGACTTTACCAAGAAACTAACATTTACTTTTTGACAGAACTGAAATACACTGAATTACATAGCAAATTCACTAAAATAACAAGAAAATTCTGTCCATGTAAAGGCTCTATTTTTTACCCCCAAAAAAGTGTTTCAATTCTGATACTCACACCACACAACTGGTTAAGAAAATAAAGCGCAGTGTTTAGCAACTGGACATCCTAACTACCGTAAGAGGCACTCTGGGCTCACCCCTTCCTGGCAACCGCTGAGGTCAGCAAGGCCAGGAGCAAGGAGAGCCTCCTATTTTTCACCACAAGCCGCTGCCGTCTCCTTATTGAAGCCCCGAATGGAGAGATCATAGACCACCTCCTCTACTTTCTTGACGTCGTATTTCAATCCATCGTAGCGCTTCCTCAGGGAGTCATTTTTCAGGTTGAGAAGGCGGAAACCGGAATCCAGCTCATTGATGAAGGTGGAGATGTGGAGGGGTCGGGAGTAGTCTCCAGCAGTCACGCTGTTGACAGACAGCCTCGACTATACCAGGAAAGAGAAACGGGGGCCTGTTACAACATGGCTCCTCCTCAGTGCATCTTCCTCTGAATCGCAACTAGAAGAACTGCAGGCCGGCAAAAACAGCTACACTGATGTTCTACCTCAGGGTACATGCAAGCATAGACAAAACAGGAGCTTCTCTGAAAAGAATCCCCCTGAAAATGAGACCATTCCTGCCAAGTAAAATTTAATATAACATCTAAAATTTCTCTGATTTCTTAAACTGGCTATTGCATAATAAAATGTTACATTACACAAGCATCTTTACAGCACATCTGCTATCATATGGAAGAAATAAATGACAAAGTCATCACAGCAGCTCTGCTATCTCTTCCAACCTCTGCCAAATGATCACATTTCTAGAGCCCACCTACTAAGCTGCAACTCCAGTCATCTAGAATCAAGAAGGCAGGCTGGGCATGGTGGCTCACACCTATAATTCCAGCACTTTGGGAGGCCAAAGTGGGTGGATCACAAGATCAGGAGTTCGAGACCAGCCTGGCCAACATGGTGAAACCTTGTCTCTATCAGAAATACAAAAATTAGCTGGGCATGGTGGAACTCGCCTGTAATCCCAGCTACTGGGAGGCTAAGGCAGAAGAATGGCTTGAATCCAGGAGGCAGCGGTTGCAATGAGCCGAGATCACGCCACTGCACTCGGGTCTGGGCGACAGAGCAAGGCTCTGTCTCAAAAAAAAAAAAAAAAAAAAAAAGTAAGGCAGACTTGAGATAAGAAGCTAAAATTACATCAGTTTAACACTGTCTTGAAGGAGAGCTAAGATTTATTTCAAGACCCAACTCAAGATTCCCCTTCTCAGTATACAATCCCCCCTCCCCCGCACTGCTACATTTGACTGGCTTAATAAAATAATAAAAAAAGATATACCTTTCTGTACAATCCTCTCCACTTTTCCAGGCTTACCTACACTACCCCTTTAGTGCATTCTCAACACATACAGGTTTTTTTGTTTTGTTTTTTAATATAAATAGAAAGGGGTCTTGCTTTGTTGCTCAGGCTGGAATAGAACTCTTGGCCTCAAGTGATCCTCCCACCTTGGCCTCCCAAATTGCCAGGATTACAGGTGTAAGCCACAGCAACTGGCCCCAACACGTATGGTCCTAAAGACACCTCACACTTAACAACAAATACCGACAACGTGCTTCAAGTTTACTGGTCAGGTGTCTCCAACAACTCAGACAAGTGGTACAGCCTGCAAATGAACCCCATTTTCCATTCTCCCCATCTTCCTCAGGTTTCAATGCACACATACCCACTCCAATGACTCCATTTCTGCCCCCCATGCAGGCAAGGCACCAGAATATTAAATAGAGCTTGTGTGTACAGCCTCAAAGACATTTCCTCAAAGTGGGAGGGCATACCCTTTTCCCATTTCCTCCTATTGCTGGCTACAGTGAAGATGTGAATAAAGCAACAGTTCTGGAACTTAAGAAAGAAGCTGAGGCTGGAAGAACCTCGGGCCAAAGATCAAGGAATCATCAGACCAGCCCTGGACTGCTTTCCTGTGAAGCAAGGACAAGCAACTTTTTCTTAACAAGCCTGATGGTAAATATTTTCACCTCTGCAGACTGACACAGTCTCTATCACAACTACTCAATTTTTACTGATAGCTTTTTTCCTCTTTACACTTTTACAGTGCAATTTCCCTAGATAGTGATTAATGGAATAAAGGATAAGAATAACTTATATAGTTATATAGATATGTAAGTCTCCAAAACAATTACATGAATTAACACAGTTACCAAGAATAGATGTTTTGCCACTACCCTAAAAAGAAAAGGTCTTACCATCTTTTAATTATTCACTGGCCAGGCACAGTGAGTGGCTCAAGCCTGTAATCTCAGCACTTTGGGAGGCCGAGGTGGGTGGATTACCCAATGTCAAGAGTTAGAGACCAGCCTGGCCAACACAGTGAAACCTCAGCTCTACTAAAAATATTAAAAAAAAAAAAATTCATAACTCAGGCCAGGCGCAGTGTCTCACGCCTGTAATCCCAGTACTTTGGGAGGCCAAGACGGGCGGATCACCTGAGGTTTGGAGTTCCAGACCAGCCTGACCAACCTGCAGAAACCCTGTCTCTACTAAAAACAATAACTTAGCCGGGCTTGGTGGCACATGCCTGTAATACCAGACACTCGGGAGGCTGAGGCAGGAGAATTGCTTGAGCCTGGGTGGCAGAGCTTGTGGTGAGCTGAGATTGCACCATTGCACTCCCGCCTGTGCAACAAGAGCAAAACTCTGCCTCAAAAAATAAAAAAAAATTCATAACTGCATAAGTATGCGCTCCTCATTTGATCTGGCTTTGCTATGATGCCTAGTAAACTGTAACACATACAGTGCCAGTCAATGACTAACCGGTGACTGAGAGATGGCTTAGAAAAGATTTAAGACTTCCTGAATTTTGTACCCATTTTAAAAACTTACAGTGAAGCAGAAAGATCAAAAAAGCAACCAGCAAATTACTCAGCTTACCAGTTCACTGGCAAGAATTAGAACTCCTGAGAGATAATCTTCTACATCCAGATGAAATCCTTTCTCCCGATCTGGCTCAACTAAAAAACACATGAAAATAAACTCACGCTGTGAATGCAATTTAAGCCTCAGAATATAAAAATACACACATAATTTCTCCCAAATTAAGTGAAGAAAGTATGAATCTTTTAAAAACTGAATTTTTAATATACTCACAGCCTCGACAACTAGACCGCACTGTGGATTTTTTGAGCTCATAAGCAAAATTCAATTCAGTCTTTCCTCAAAAAGCAGTATTATCAAAATGGTGTATAGTTGTGTCAGAGAATATACTTGCTAGAAAGTGCATGATAAAGCATTTAAGAAAGGAGTTATGATATTTGCAACTACCTTCCAAATGGCTGACAAAGACACAAAATGAGAAGATTAAGCAGATGTGGCAAAATGTTAACAAGTGGCAAATCTAAGTGGCGTGTGAGCAGGTATTCATTGTACCATTCTTTCCATTTTTCTGTAGGCTTGAAATTTTTAAAAATCCAATTTTGAAAACTGAAAGAAGCAAGTGCAAATGAGTTACCACTATTATTTTTAGCTTTTGTGTTTCCAAGTACAGCTGGCCCTCTGCTGACCAACTGCGGATTGAAAATACTTGGGAAAAATAAAATAACAACAATTCAAACTACAAATTTTTAAAATGAATACAGTATAACAACTATTTATGTAACACTCATACTGTATTAGACATTTTAAGTAATTAGAGATGATTTAAAGTATGTGGGAGGATGTGTACAGGTTATATGCAAAAACTACACCATTTTATATAAGGGACTTGAACGTCCTCAGATTTTGGTACTGGGAAAGCTGTGGATCCAGTCATCCTCAGATAACAAGCTACAACTGTAAGTGATTTTTAGTTAGTTCTCACTTGTTTTAATAAATAAACTACAACCACCCTTTCCACCAAAAACTAAGCAACCATGCCTGATTCTGCAGATTCCACTAATGAAGATACTTACTGCCAAGAATTTCTGTAACCGCTTCCCGAGTCACTAGTGTTTCTGTTTCCAAATATACAACAAATGCTGCCAAGAAGACCAAGCGCTGCAACACAAACCTCCAGTGCTCATGAAATCTGCAGGAAAATAAGCACACTTAACCTCCAAGGCTACAGACCTTCAGAGAGATGAGCTTAACACAGTCGTGTTCAAACAGTGAAGAAATAAGATGACTTTTCAAATAAAATCTTACGCAAACCCCCAATATATAAAGAGCAATAAGACATTTACTATAAATTTTAAAAGTTCAAATTTATAACAATTATTTAAGTTTAATCAGTGAGCAATACGGTCTAATTTTGATGAATATGAAAATTTACACCAGGTGCGGTGGCTCATGCCTGTAATCCCAGCACTTTAGGAGGCCAAGGCAGGTGGATCACCTGAGGCCTGGAGTTCAAGACCAGCCTGGCCAACATGGCAAATCCCCATCTCTACAAAAAATACAAAAATTAGGCAGGTGTGCTGGTGCGCACCCATAGTCCCAGCTACTCAGGAGGCTGAGGTGGGGGAATCGCTTGAACCTGGGAGGCGGAGGTTGCAGCGACCCGAGATCACACCACTGCGCTCCAGCCTGGGCGACAGAGTGAAACTCCCCCTGAAAAAAAAAAAAAAAAGAAAATTTACAACTGAAGATTACAGATGACAAGAGCAATCGTGCTTTCTAAGTTTGATCAGTAAGAACAATGATACTGCTCTGAGAAAAATAAAAATTTGCAACTGACGATTGAAGACAACTGCAGCCTCAACTTACTCCTACATTTTGATTTGAGTGCAGGATACCAACAAAATTCTGATTCACAAAATTGCCATTTGCAATCACTAAATAAACGGACTTAAAGTGATAGAATACTGAGCTAGAAGCCTGAAAAAAGAAAAGGACATTTTACAACCTGTGGATAGTTACACTGTGCCTCCTGATTTTCAAATGTGGGAATAAATTCAAAAAAAGGTCTCAACACAATGCAGGTCACATAAACCCTTCTCAAGGCCAAATCTAGCCAGAAGGCAGCCTGTGTGTGACCTCCAGAGATGCTCTCTGAAGACCCCGCTAGTTCTACTGTCCCACCTCTCTCTGTGATTCAGTTATGACGACAGCAGTCCCTGACCCTTTCAGCACCAGAGACTGGTTTCACAGAAGACAATTTTTCCACAGAAGGTGGGGCAGACGGTTTCAGGATGAAATTGTTCCACTTCAGATCATCAGGCATTAGATTCTCATAAGGAGCATACAACCTAGATCTCTGGCATGCAGTCAGCATTACGGTTCTCACTACTATGAGAATGAAATGCTGCCACCAATCTGACAGGAAGTGGAGCTCAGGCAGTAATGGGGAGCGATGGGGAGCAGCTGTAAATACAGATGAAGCTTCACTCGCTCACCCACCGCTCACCTCCTTCTATGCACCCCAGTTCCTAACAGGCCACAGACCAGTACCAGTCCACAGCCTGGGAGCTAGGAAACCCTGCCTTACAGCAAGGATCAACAAATTTTTTCTGTAAAGGGCAAGCAGTAAATACAGATATTGATCGACTTACGACCTATGCAACTTACGGCCATTCGACTTTACGACCACAATGGCTAGCCACGACTGCTCCACGTCTGGCAGCGCAAACGTTGCCCAGCCAATAAAATGTTTCGTACATGTTTATATATTTTGATATGTTTTGCAATTGGGAAAATGTTTCCTATGGTATTTTTTACACCTGTATTTTGTATTTTTGTATGCACCTGTATTTTGTAATTTTGTATGTTTTGCAAATATTAAACCAGTTGTACTGGTAATGCAGTGTTTTAAACCTGACGTATGTAAAAATAAGAAACAAAATGGTGTAGAGATGATACAAATGACAAAAAACGAACAAAGAAAATTATGATATATAACAATAATGAAAGAAAATTATGATAAAATATGACTTAAAGATTTTTATAACATCATTTCATAGTACTGTACATATAGCCTACTCAACTTACGACCAAATCATGTTACGACCGGTCTGTCGGAACCAATAGTGGTCGTAAGTCGAGCACTAGCTGTAGTTTAGGCTTTGTGGGCCACTTTCACTGTTACATCTTCTTATCTGAGAGTTTTCTTTTTTTTTAACAACTCTTGACAAAATAAATGCAATTCTTAGCTCCCACAGGCAGCAGCCACTAGTGGTTTGTCAGCCTCTGCCTTAAAGAATATTCTCGTGAGGTTATACTATCCACCCCTGAAAATACTCATCCTATTTACTGTTGATACATGTCTTAAAATAACGTCTTTTCCTGTAAGAAAATTAAAATAAGTAGAAATTCTTGTGTCAGATGCAGTTTTTCCCAGTTTGACATCTATGAAACCAGGATACATTTCACAATCCATGTTTCCCAGTTTTTTTTTTTCTGAGATGGAGTCTCACTCTGTTGCCCAGGCTGGAGTGCAATGATGCAACCTCAGCTCACTGTAACCTCCGCCTCCCAGGTTTGAACGATTTTCCTACTTTAGCCTCCCTAGTGGCTGGGATTACAGGTGTGAGCCACCACACCCAGCTAAGTTTTGTTTTTAGTAGAGACAGGATTTCCCATGCTGGCCAGGTTGATCTACAATTCATGACCTCAGGTTCTTCCCCTGCTTGGCCTCCCAAAGTGTTGGGATTACAGGTGTGAGCCACCTCACCTGACTCATGTTTCACGATTATGACTGGCAAAATTTTTCTTCCCCACATAAAATAATGGTGTATCTAAAAATTAACAGTGTTGTAAATTCAACAAGATGTGGCATAAAATATTAGCTATATATGTCACTTAGCAGTGAAATTCAAGCTTTAAAGGAAAAGTCAACTCTATTTATATATACTGCCACCTAATCTCATTACCTCAATAACTATAGTTCATCCAATTTCATAAGAAGCTAAAATACAGCAAAAAGATATTCTTTTGACCTTCATACCACATTTTCCTTTTCATTGCTTTTTCCCTGCAAAAGTAATACATGTTCCTTAAGAAGATTTAGAAAGTAAAAAGAAGAAAAAAAAAATCACCAATTTTTGTCATGACCATCATTAGTTTCGTTCTTCTCTTTTTGTTACTCCCACACATTAGGATGTTTACCTAGTTGTAAGCAATCATTTGCTACATACAATTTTTCTTTTTTTTTTTACTTAACATTATAAAATGCTATTTTTCTACAAACCTGTAATACTGTTCAGCAGGAAACTTGGTCTTCAAAGATGTTAGATGTGTTTTTACTGTACCAAAATGTTCTCGAGCTTTCAAACACCTCTTTGGAACTAATCACAAAAGATAACCAAATGTAATCATGAAAAACTTACCAAATTTCAAATACAGTTCTCGCTTAATAATCTAAGCGATCTATCTGGAAATGAATCAACTTTTTTTTTTAACCTCACAACTAATGTACACATCTCTGCTTTTCAACCTGGCTCTCAAAATACCATCCCTAGTTTCCCTACTAACTAGCTATACTGAAAAATAAACAACTTGCTAAAAGGGAATATATTAGGAGACACATTGGTAATTGGCTAAGTTGTCATAAATAACGTCATCCTTCAGGGGCTGTGCACCAGCCGCTATTCCTGTTCACTCCTGAGAGAATGCTTAACATTGGATTGTTCCTTCTTCCCGTATGTGGCAGAAAAAAGCCTTTACCAACTATTCACAATCAAGATGACCGACTCTATATCATTAAGAAAAATAACTTGCCTGAGGCATGTGTCAATGCATTATTATCTCATTCTTGTATCTGAAAATACACTTCAGCTCTTTTAGCTGTGCTGGCTATGCCTTACAAGGAAGGTTCCATGCCTAAACTTGACATATTTGACTTTCATTCACAAGGTTAACTGTAAACACATTGATTTGAGAACACTTTATACTGTAAATGTCATTAAAAGGCATTCAATGCAAATCAACAGGAAGTTGGAAAAAAAAAAAAAGGTATTCAATCACTGAAAGGCTGGAGACACACACACACACACACACACACACACACAAAAGGGCCAAGTAAAAGTCGCTAGATAACACAAAGGAGTTATAAACCCTTTTCCTGCTCACCCTGAGAAGACTGTGCTGGCAGAGAGCTGTGCTTTTTTTTTCTAAACAGGAAATAGGTTAAGCGATTCTAATTATCATCAGTAGAATGCTATCACAACAGAGAAAACACCTCTATTTAAACCATACCATGTGGAAGTGGAAAAATCAAAATTACCAAATCACCTACTTCTTCAATTTGTATAAAGCATGATGGACATTTTTCATTATAAAATGTCTTCTAGATACAAACTAACTCTCTACATAAGAGATACTTGGATACAAAACAAAGAACTTACTGTCCTGAAAGCCAGCACCCTGATGGACCCCTTGCAGTAGAGTCAAAATCTCTCGAGCTGTTTGTTCTAAACTCTGTACAACTTTTCGGATTTCCTAGAGAGAAGTAAAAATAAAAATCAGATACTCAACACAATTACTGTCATACACTCACATCAAACACATTAGATAGCATATGTGATCTATCATAACTAAGTTGGAATCCTGACTTTTCCACTTATTTCCTCTGTAAGACTTCAAAAAGTCACTAAAAAGCCTTAGATTCCTCAGGTAGCCTTTAAAGGATAACAGCCACCCATTCACCCCAAGTATCCAATTGAGACATTATCAAACGGATGATGTCTGTCAACATAATTTATAAAAGGAAGAATTAAATGCAATACAAGAGTTGGGCATTTCTAATTTTTTTTTTTTTTTTTTTTTTTTTTTAGACGGGGGCTTGCTCTGTTGCCCAGGCTGGAGTGCAGTGGTGCGATCTAAGATCACCGCAACCTCCGCCTCCTGGGTTCAAGCGATTCTCCTGCCTCAGCTTCCACAGTAGCTGGGATTGCAGGTATGCGCCACCATGCCCAGTTAATTTTCTTTTGTATTTTTAGAAGACACAGGGTTTCACCATGTTGCCCAGGCTGGTCTCGAACTCCTGACCTCAGGAAATCTGCCCGCCTCGGCCTCCCTAAGTGCTGGGATTACAGCCATGAGGCACCGCACCCGGCCTTTAACTCATTTTTAAAATACTCACTAAGCACACTTATGTGCGAGGGACTGTGTAAATACTCGGGGAACAAAGCATACAATTCATTCCCTCTGGTAGTTTAAGATATATTGGGGGAGAAGATATTTTTTAAATAATCAACATTACACACATTTTTTAAAAAGTTAATGTGCTACTTGAAAACATAAGAAAAAGATCGTTTAGGTTGTGAAGTCAAGGAGATAAATATGAGATAACCAAGAAAAGAAAGGGAAAGACGCAAATTCCAGTAAAGGCAAACAGGCAGAAAAGCTAACTGGGGCACTAGAAGAGTTAAAGTGAACATCCTACACAAAGAGGGCGTAAAATGAGATTGAAGAGAAACCATGTGGGCCACAGTAGAGTCTGATATTCTATCCTATGTGGGATAGGAAATCATAGGAGAGTGTTAAACAGGAGATCACAGGTGCTTTTAAGACACCAACAACAAATACATGAAACACGTATTCGCTGAAGTCCAGGTGCAATTCGAGCCTTCGATATAAGCAAGTGCTGAAAACAAGGAAAACTGACACAAACGAGGTAGGTGATGCTGAGAAGTTGAGACCCGAACACGGAGAATCAGGACAGAGCGGCAGAATTAGGGGCGGGGAGTGCCCTAACCTCAAGCTAGAGGGGAAGTAAGCGACCCTCGGAGGCATCCCTACCGCCCTATACTCAAAGACTGAGGAGGGCCGGGCGACGTGGCCCAGCCAGGAATGGAGAGGGAAAGGGAATGGGGAAGGGAGGGGGCTCGCCTCTCGGATGTCCTGCTCGGCAGCCAGAAAGCCCTGCAGCTCCACGAAGATCTCGCTCACAGACATGGCGCGGGCTGCACAGCAATCTTCCAGTGTGGCAAGGGCGGCCAGAGAAGTGGACTCCGGAGACAACCAGCGCAATCAATCGCAACACCCACCGCAGCCGCCGCTGTCGCCGCGTACCGCCGGTCTTACGCCACGGCCGTCGCCGGGGTCCTCCGAGCCCCGCGGCGCGCCGAAGGACTGGCTGCCCGCTGCACTGCCTGAGGCGCCGCCCGCTGAGTTCCGCATGGAGGCGGGCGTCCAGAGGGCAGAAGAGGGGGAGAGTGGGCTGGGCTTCAGTCTGAGGCCTTCGGACAGGCATCGCCAGAAACAACCAGCGAAGGGGCTCCTCGGAGCACGTGAGCCTAAGGGAGGGCGGGGACGGGCTTGGAGGTGGTGCGACCAAGCGGAGCTGTTTAGCTCATTATATATGTGTATCTATTTATTTCATATACAACAGCATATAGGGGAAAATATTTTACAACGAAAGCGTATGCACAAAAAAAAGTGCAGAAGAATGTAGAGAGATTGCAGTCTTCGCGAGAAAGTAGAGGAACAGTGCATTTATATTTCCAAACAAAGGAAAATGAAAGTAACATATATAGGACTGTGAGTAGGGAATGGATTGGCAACGAAAATTTTCTGTGAAAAGCTTTTATTTTACTATCTTCTCTGTATGGTTGTATTACCTATTTTTAAATTAAACGGATTTTTTAAGCATGTGCGATGGGATGTGTCTCTTTCCACTAACAGCTTGCCCTAATTCCCTTTCCATGCACTAAAACGGTTTCCTCCTTGTTCTTGAAGAGTTCTATACACAAATGCTGTGTATGTTCTTGAACAGTTATTCCATACACAGATACTGCGTATGTGTGTCTGCTTATCATTCAGTTGATAAGAATCATTCCAATCCATGAAATTGGAATGATTCTTACCAACTAAATGATAATTTATTGCTTGATTTGTGCCTGACATTATACTAAATTCTTTACATGAAGGATCATATTTAATTCAAGGATTCTCCTACCTCAGCCTCCTGAGTAGCTGGGATTACAGGTGTGCACCACCATGCCTGGCTAATTTTTTTTTTTTTTTTTTTTTTTTTTTTTTTTTTTGAGATGGAGTTTGCTCTTGTTGCCAGGCTAGAGTGCAATGGCATGATCTTGGCTCACCGCAACCTCCACAACCTAGGTTCAAGCAATTCTCCTGCCTCAGCCTCCCAAGTAGCTGGGATTACAGGAATTCACCACCACATCCAGCTAATTTTGTGTATTTAGCAGAGACGGGGTTTCTCTATGTTGGTCAGGCTGGTCTCAAACTGCCAACCTGAGGTGAACCGCCTGCCTTGGACTCACATAGTTCTGGCATTACAGGCGTGAGCCATCGCACCCAGGCTCATAAGTCAATTTTTTTTTTCTAATATGGAATTTCGCTCTTATTGCCCAGGCTAGAGTGCAATAGCATGATCTCGGCTTACCGAAATCTCCATCTTCCGGGTTCAAGCAATTCTGCCTCAGCCTCCCGAGTAGCTGGGATTATAGGCATACACCACAACACCAGACTATTTTTATATTTTTAGTAGAAACGGGGTTTCTCCACGTTGGTTAACGGCTGGTCTCAAACTGCCAACCTCAGGTGATCTTCCCACCTCGGCTTCCCGAAGTGCTGGGATTATGGTCTATTTTTTAAAAGGAATTTTGAATAGGAAATTAATCGATTGATTGAACGGTTTAAAATATGGGTGGCTAAATATTACCAGAGTTACAAAAAAATCAGTTTTTCCTTGCAGTGTGGGAACTTTTTCATGTTCAAAAGATATTGCCAACAAATTAATTGTCCAACAAATGTCTTTGTCTAACTTGTTACTATGGGAAAATTTTCAAATATCAACAAACTAAAGAGCATAGTATAGTAAACTTCTATGTACTCATTACCCAGCTTCAGTAATTAGCAGTTAATAGCCAATTGTGTTTAATCTATCTGCTACTTACTCTCCGAACTTCTACATTATTTTGAAGTAAAGCTAAAACATCCTATGATTTCATATCCATAAATGTTTCAGTATGCATTTCTAAAAGATAGGAACTTTTTACAAAAACCTAATGTATTATGCTTAAAATTACACAGAATAATTTCTAATATGATCGCTAATGTTAAAATTGTCCCTATTCTGTTTCTGTCTGTGATTTCGTCATTTGATTCAGACTCCAAGTAAAGTCCGTACATGGCATTTTGTTGATAAACCTTGTAAATCTTTAATCCACAGATTGCCCCTCTTCTTTTTCCCTTTCCTCAGAATTTATTTGTTGAAGAAACCAGGTTCTTTATCCAGTAGAACTTCCTACAGCCTGCATTTGGCTGACTGCATTCCTGTGGTACATTTGACACGCGTCCCTATGCTGCATAGTTCCTGTAAACTGGTAGTTAGAGCTAATGGCCTTAAGAGACCTGAGCCTGATTTTTTGACAAGAGTACTTTATAGGTTATGTTGTCCATTTCCAACAGAAGGTGTAAGATGTCTGATATACTCTCTCCTCCTCTCTCTTCATAATACTAAGATTGATTAGGTATCATCAGCCCGATCCATCCATTACAAAGTTTCTCATTAGCTTTTCAGCATTGATGACTCTTGCTTAGATCCTAGCCCGTTATGGGTTTCAAAACAGTCTCCTGCCATCTTTTCTGCAGTTTAGAGGACAGCGCTGGCTTCACAGAGAAAGATGCATTGGAAACAGCTTATACAGAAGGCAGGGAAAACGGGAGGAAAGCAGGTCACAGGTATACAGCAATAACTGCTGGAGCAAAGGTTTTGTGCATTCAAAAATTTGAGGGGTATTGCAAAATTGTGCTCTAAAAAGATTAAACCAACTTAACCCTTTTCAATAAATGCCTGCTTCTACATATCCTTTGCCAATTTGATAGGTGAAAAACTGCACCTCATTCTGGTTTACAATTGTTAATTTCAAGTAAAGTGGACCATATTTTCAAATATATATTGGTAATCTGTATTTTTCTTTGTGAAAGTATGTTGCTATCTTTTCCCCATGTTTTCTATCAATTTGTTTACACCTTTTATTTTTTAAAGAATTCTTTGTATATTAAAGTGATGAGTTCCTTATCTGTCATATCATATGTGTTACAGATATTTTTCCCAGATTATTGTCTTTTGACTCTGATCACAATACTGTTTGCTTTGTAGAAGGTTTTTATTGTTACAATGCACTTATCAAATATTTCCTTCATAGCTTCTGGGTTTTATAACATTCTTTGAAAAGTCTAACCCATGACCATTAAAAATCATTCACAATTTCTCCTAGCATTCCTATGGTTTCAGCTCTTTTCTTTTTTCTTTTTTTCCTCCTTCTCCCCTTTTGCATACAAATGTTTGGCTCACTTCGACATGGATTGAACTTCTATTTCTTTATTTTGAAACAGGGTCTCACTCTTTCATTCTTGGTGGAGTGCAGTGGCATGATCATAGCTCGCTGTAAGTTCAGACTCCTGGGTTCAAATATTCCTTCTGCCTCAGCCTTCCAAGTACGTGGAACGACAGACACATGCACCACGGCTGGCTAATTTTTAAAATTTTTTCATAGAGATGGGATTTTGCTATGTTGCCCAGGCTTGCCTTGAACTCCTGGCCTCAAGCAATCCTCCTGCATTGGCCTCACAAAGTGCTAGAATTACAGGCATGAGCCACCAGGCCTAGATTGAACTTTTATTTCTTGCCAGATGTTGTCTCAATACTGTTAATACAACGACTTATATTTTCTCTAATCATTTAAAGTAGTACTTCTATTGTGTACTGCATGCTGAATATATTTGTGTCTATTTCTGAATCACCTGTTTTGTTCCATTTATCTGTTCTTTTAGTACACTGACTGAGATCCATGGTGTATTCAATGCTGGCATTTTGCATTGTACACATTAGATGTATCCTTGAAAGGCTGCATGTGAAGCAAAAACAATTGGGTCCGTAATCTCACTGGCATCCTTTAGTTATTGTTATGTAACATACCATCCAAAAATGCAGTGGCTGACAGCCAGTTACTCCCACACATTCATAGGGTGTGCTAGGCTGGGTTCTGCAGGGGCGATCGTGCTCGGCATGGCGTCCATTCCCTTCCTAGGGCAGCAGGATCATCTGCCTCACGGTGATGCACAAACACAGGAAGGAGTGTGCAAAGACTAAGGTCCCAGAGGACCCAGGCTTTCCCCATCCATGCCATTTCTTCCTCATCTTAGTGGTCAAAGCCACACAGCTAAACCCAAAATCAAGGGTGAGGAAAGTTCCCTTTGTCCCATGAGACAAGGAAAAGCTGTGGACGCAGAGAAGGTGAAGAACTGGGACCACAATCCCAATCTCCCACAGCTACTGACACATAATTTAAATGGGGAAGCTTCCATAGAAAATTCCAGGTCCTTGTCTAACATTAAGCTAAAAAGGAGCTGCTAACATATATTTGAAACACAGTGAAAATTTAAGTACCTGGAAAAGTACAAGGTAACATAACATCCATGTGTCCATCTCTAATAATTAACAAATTAATATTTTTGCTTATTTGCTCCTGATCTTTTTTTTTAGAAATAAAATGTTTTAGAGTTTATGTACTCTGTATACCCTTCCATGGTTTTCTCTCACTATCCAGAAGTAATTACTATCTTAAAGGTAGTCTGTGCACATTTTTATTAAATATGCAGCATTTATGAAGATTAATACACTTCTTTGTTTTCATATTTTAGATATTATAAATGGTATGATACTTTATATATAATTCTAAAAGTAGCTTTTTATTTCAACAGTATATCCGGAGATCTAGCTGTGTTTATACATATAGATTGTCTTCTTTTACATTGTTATATTTTACTCCATTGTATGACTGTATTAGTCTGTTCTTGCATTGCTATTGATAAATACCTGGCTGGGCGTGGTGGCTCATGCCTGTAATCCCAGCACTTTGGGAGGCCGAGTCAGGTGGATCACAAGTTCAGGAGTTCAAGACCAGCCTGACCAATATGGTGAAACCCTATCTCTACTGAAAAAAAAAAAACAAAAATTAGCCGGGCATGCTGGTGGGCACCTGTAGTCCCAGCTACTTGGGAGGCTGAGGCAGGAGAATTGCTTGAACCCAGGAGCCAGAGGTTGCAGTGAGCCAAGATCACACCACTGCATTCCAGCCTGGGCGACAGAGCAAGACTCCATCTCAAAAAAACAAAAAAAAAAAAACAAAACAAAAAAACCAAAATGAAAAGAAAAGAAAGAAAAAGGAAATACCTGAGACTGGGAAATGTATAAAGAAAAGAGGTTTAACTGGCTCACGGGTCTCCAGGCTGTACAGAAATCATGGCAGCTTCTTGGGAGGTCTCAGGAAACTGACAATCATGGCAGAAGGTGAAGGGGAAGCAGGCAGGTCTTCCATGGCTGAAGCAGGAGGAAGTGAGAACAGGGGAGATGCTACACACTTTTGAACAACCAGGTCTCACCACAACTCACTCACTATAACGACAACAGCACTAAGGGGATGATGCTAACCCATTCATGAGAACTCTGGCCACATAATCTAATCACCTCTCACCAGGCCCCACCTCCAACACTGGGGATTACAACTGAACGTGAGATTTGGGTGGGGACACAGATCCAAACCATATCAACGACTGTATCATAATTCATCTTCTTTCCTTTACTGATGGATGCTTTGAATGGTGTTAACTTACCATTATCATTAACAAGAAAACATTTACAAATCACATATTTAAGGTAAATACATGCAATTTTATCAAAATATTAAAGTTATTTGCAAATATTACACAGATGAAATATAACTAAACTGATAATTCAAAAACACCTAAGGGATATGTTAAGGAATATGTTATGAAGGGCCACACATTATTAATAATCAATTTTCTCCCAAAATATGTCCTATGAAGGAAACAAAAGATAGATCTACCAGCAGACAGTACTAAACTAATTCCGTCATTCACATGAACATTCTCCTACAAGCCACAGCCCAGAAGACTGTCAATATGCACCCAGCCTTATCATTTTCTGTTAATATTTAGTCAGTGTTTCCAATATAATTGGCTGCTTCTGCAGATCAAAGGCTTTTACATAGGTCCTACATGCAAATCAAATAGCTATCCATGGAACATCAGAACTTGACTTGCTCCATTCTCTTATAGTTTTTGTGTCTCATGCTAAAGAAATGAGAGATGCAGAATTCTAAGGCTGAATAGCTAGGAAGTACTCATTCAAACTTGAATATTCTTCAAAGAGAGTGTGGGGCAATTCTAATCAGAGGAAGAAACATGAAGTCAACCCAGATGTTTTCCACCAGGGCCCTCCTTTTGGCTGGTCTGATTTCCACTGGTAAGTCGAAAGTGCAATTTTAGAATGTTGGTTAACTTTTAAAAACTGATTTCGGGGGACGATTAAAAAGATTACAAAGTCATTAATAGCACAATCACAACAAATACATGTATTTGGCTTTTAAAAATGAGATTGAAATGATACAGGGTCCTGAGGATATTCTAAATAATTTACAATGAAATGTCCTGGTTCTTTAATGAGGGAAGCATAATAGTGGGTTGAGAAGACATTGCAAAGCCTTTCAATCTTGGTCTGGGACTTAACTGAAACAAAACTAGATAATAAAAAGTTGACATAAGAACCTGATTCCAGTTTTGATCAAAATCAAATGCCGATACAGATATCAAATACAGAGACTAGTGTGGATTAGGACAAAGGGAATGCTCCCTTAATACTCATAGAAGGAGGAAAAAGTGAATCAATGACTACACTGTCTGATATTTGCCTCAATTCCCAAGGATAAATATTAGTTTCCAAAGTGATGGGATTATGTCTTGAACAAGGTGTTGACCTGGAGCATGGCTACAAGGCATAAAACTTTTGAAACCCACCTTTTAAGACTACTTTAAAGAATAGGCTTAATCACCACGTTCTGTAGCTTCTCTTCACAGCATATGTATTAACAAAAAGTAAAATGTCTTTAAATAAAATCAATAGTCAAATAACCAATCTCTTGCTTTGGCTTGTTTGTTTCAAAGTGCAAGGTTGAGTGTGCTCACTGTATCTCCCTGTGAATGTTAACCCCAGAAATCCAGGACGTTTAATTCAATTGAACATTTATCGAGTGCTTGCTATACTAAAGAGACATATTGTGCCTAAAACAATGTTTGCACCAAGTCCACTGAGAAAGCAGCCTCTCCTCCATGTTTCATAATTTTTCAGATAATTAGTCCTCCTTTTCCCATCTCCTCTCCTCATCTCAGTCCAGGCTAAACTGGCTTCACATTTCAGATTATTTCTAAGACTCTCCCTCTTCTATGTTTGCAACCATGAAAGAGATTTATCTAGTGCTAAACAAACTTGTCTAGTTCAGAGTTTATTTCTCCTTTCATTCCAACATTGGGTAGGATTCGATTAGTAGAACTAACCATTTCAACATTATTTTAGAACTTCTAAAATTATTTTCTGAGCCATGCTGTTTTATTATTTTGCTTAATCTAACCATAGTGATCCCCATGCCAGTAATGAGCAAAGAAAAATAGAAAAGCACAACTTATACCACTTACTAATGGTTCTGAAGCAAAGTATATCGATGAAGGCTAATGCTAATAAAGAAATGCATTCACTGATATGCTAGCATCACAAAGCAGAATTCTGTAGCCAGGGAATAACCAATTTTACATCTGAATTAGGATATTAAAATTTTGGAAGGACAACCTTCCATAAGCTACAGAAAGTTCAGGGAAAGTTACAGTGAAAATAGAATTGTCAGAATCCACTACATGACTAATATGGCAAATGGAGATTGGAAACGTCTGAGGCCACGAGCTCTGCGCTCACATTTCTCCTTTATAGCACCAGCCGGCCCATGGGCTAATATATGTGTTGGGAAGTCTTCCAACGAGATCCGGACATGTGATCACCATGGTTGTGGACAGTACTCTGCTCAAAGGTATGGATTTGCACAAACAACCATCCAACCCTTTGGTCCCTAACCTCTTTTTTTTTTTTTCTTTTTGTTTTTTTTTTAAGACAGAGCCTCACTCTTACCCAGTCAGTCACCCAGGATGGAATGCAATGGCGCCATCTGAGCTCACCGTAACCTCCGCCTCCTGGTTTCAAGTGATTCTCCTGCCTCAGCCTCCTGAGTAGCTGAGATTACAGGTGCTTGCCACCACACATGGCTAATTTTTATATTTTAAGTATAGATGAGAGTTTCACCATGTTGGTCAGGCTGGACTCAAACTCCTGACTTCGTGATCTGCCAATCTCAGCCTCCCAAAGTGCTGGGATTACAGGCATGAGCCGCCGCGCCTGGCCCCAACCTCTTTTCTTAGTGTCCTTGACCAATGTTGGCTGCCTCAAGGGCTCACAATTCTGACAGTATGAAAAACCAGAGATGTAACCAGTTACTCCACTGTCTTTGGAGCAGCTTCCAAGAACTCGGCTTCAAGTATGGGCTGTGAATTGGGATCCAAACATGGAAGAAGGAAAAGAGCAGGGAGCAAACACACTGTTTTCCTTCTGAATGTCTTCACACATGGACTTATCTCACCTGCTTTTTCCAAAGGGGAATCAAATATGACTATACCATTTCAGAGATGAGGAACTTGAACTGAGGTGCCAAAAGGTTAAGGGACCTGCCAAGCACAGTTGGAGATGGTGAAGTCTGGACCTGAACTCAGGTTTTTGGTTCCTCTTCCCATGAAACCACGGTGTTAATGGCCCAGGCTTTGGAGGTTGAATATTAGAGGCTGACCCTAAGCAGGCGAAAGAGCACCTTTATCTCTTCGAGACAATGGGGGTCACACTTGTGAATTTTCAGTTATACCCATCATCACCTTGGGGTTCCACTGTGATGAAATAGCCATATGTCCATTCATTTCAACGATCTCCATCCTAACTAGAGGGGAGCTCCCACATATACAGATACTACTTACAAAGGAACCTCAAATACTGAAACAGGACTAAGAGAAGGGAAATATGGGAAAACAGCCCCTTAATAGCCAAAATTTACACTCAGCTCATACTGTAAAGTGTACGCACTTAACAGATACAGTAACTTCTTGGCTCTTGGCTTGAGCCTGCTCAGTGTTGCTTTGCACATAATTGTAGCAATCCTGGTGAAGCTGGTTGTTCAGGTGGCAGCCTATTAGAAGGGAGGAGAGGCTGGTGAGAGCAAGCATAGTGACAGCAGTGTGAAGAAAGAGCTGAGGGGTTGCTAAGACAAGCTCAAGACACATCACAATCTGGAGTTGTTTGGTTTGAGCTCTATGCACTTTAATAAACCCAGGAGGTATCACTCGTTGTATTAAAATATCATATGTATTGCTGTTTACAATCACTTTTCTAGATCACTGAGAGAACAATAAAACTAGGGCAACATGTGATACTTTTATAATAGGTTCCCATAAAAAGACAGCTGTTTTCAAAGTGGGCTTGAAGAAGTCTCAAGATCCAGGTATCTAGAAAATGCACTTACATGGACTGCCTCATTCCCCCCAAATGCCATACAGTAATAGTAAGTAATATATTTGTTTAAGGCTTACTATGTACCAAGTACCATTTTAAATGCTTTCATCTTTACAACATGGTTATTAGCACCTGCAGGGAGGGAGGTTAAAATTGGGCTAAACAGATGAGAAACACTGGGACATCCCAACAAGTTCTGGCAGCTTCAAGCTTTGGTACCTGGTCTGTGATCAGTGGGCTAACACCATGTTCCTGGGCCATAAAGCTCCCCAGGGCAGCTCCTTGGTCTGTTCATTCTTATTTACATCCTAGAAGTCAGAGGCCTCACCAGGGTGTGGATGTCTTGTGCTCTGCTGGATCTACTGTGTTTGCACCATTCACTGGAATGATTATGGACCAGGAGAAACCTTATCAAAACAAAAATGCTATCAATAATGCTGTTCGAATACCTGGAAGAGGTAAGAGAGGTGGAGTCTACACCTAGGGTGCCTACTGGAGATGTTGATGCTTATTTGTTTAATGCAGTTCCCATACATAGAGGTTTTCTTCTTCTTTCAAAATGATAAAACCTAGAACAGAAAGGATATAGAGTATACCAAACTAGCTGATGCATTTTTAAAAAACTTCTTAGGTTCAGGGCTACATGTGCCCATTTGTTATACAGGTAAACTGCATGTCACAGGGGTCTGGTGTACAGATTATTTTGCCATCCCGGTAATAAGCATAGTAGCCGATAGATACTTTTTTATGATCCTCTCCTGCTGATGCACTTTCGAGGACTTTTCACCACTTTCCCTGAAAACTTCTGCTTCATGCATACACTTCATGAAACCCTACAGCTAATTGGAGTTATTCCTTCCTGTGGCCCTTGTGGTTTTGCTTCACGATCTATAAACAAAGCCACTTTCAGCAATGCTAACCATAATGGATAGATACTTCCACTTACTCAAATCCCACAAATTATAAATGCTGGCATTTCTGCAAGAGTTGAATGTGAAACATTTTTGAAAGCTTCTAAATTTTAGGTAAAGCTAGGTCTCCTTGTACTCCAGATATTGGCTTTGTTGTTTGATTGTTTTAATTGCATCAAGGTATAAAATATACCCATAAAAGTGCACAACACATCCATGTACAACTCCATGAACTGCATAAAGTCAATACGTCTGTGTAACCGGCGCCCATATCATGAAAAAGAACATCACCAACATCCCAGAGATCACTTGTGCTAACGTTTAGACATGTTCCCAGCAAGGTAATCACTATCCCAAGTTCTAACACCATGCATTAGTTCCTCCTGTTTCTAAAAATGGTATAAATAGAATTAAACAGCACGCCTTCTTTTTGTGTGGCTTCTTTCATTCCACATCATGATTGTGTAATTTATGTTTTTATATCTACATTCTTTGGGATACATGATATTCCATTATATGCATATATTTTCATCTATGTATCCATTCTTCCTTAGATGGACCTTTGGGTAGTTTCCAGTTTTAGGTGATTATAAAATTGCTGCTATGAACCTTCTTATACCTTTTAATGAACATATATATGCATTCCTATTGGGAGTGAGTCTAAAGGAGCCCCGCCTCACCAAGGCTGTGGGAGGTATCTTGTGAGGGAACCCGCATCCTTAAGGAGCTATACAGTGGTTGTCCTCTGCGGGCCCAATGTCACAAGAGAAACTTCTGCCACGGAACTGGGTCCTCTGGAGTGGCACTTAACAGTCAATGCCAAGGTCACCAAGAGCAGAAAGTAATCAGATTCATCTAAACCTCAGAGATTTGTGACATTGGCTAGTAATCACTGCAACCCTAGAATGGAATAGATGAGCAGACAACTAAAGCCTTATTGGACTTGTATGAATGGAAATGCTCTAGGTCTGTTGAACAAAATGCTGACTTCAGTCATCACAATAAGGGGTTGCAATCCCCAGTAAATTCCCAGGCTTGAGTCGGTTCACAGTCCCAGAGCCTCTTGAATGAAAGGGAGGCTCAGTCCTTTTGAGTAACGGTCCTGCCATGCAGCCAAAAATTTATAATGTAAACCTTACTTCTAGCTATCCCCAAAGGGACCTGTAATGTTTTAGCAGGATGACAGCACATTGGGGAAGAAATTATTAGGCTCTTCAGAGATTATTGGACACTTGCTCAAAACTGACACTAACTCCTGGAGATCTAAAAGCCCACTGTAGTTGACCAGACTACGGACTTATAGTCAGGGGGTCAATGTAGATTTTCAGCAGGGTCCAGCTTATACTAAGCCCAGTGCATCCTCAAATCTACCAAGAGGTTATTTTCCTAGTTCCAGAATGCAAAATTGGAATAGACTTTCTTCTTCTTTCAGGTTGCCTTGCAATTCTTGGTCATTGGCATTTCCAAATAAATTACAGAATCTGTTTGCTAATTTCCACCAAAAATCCTGACAGGGCTTTGACTGACTCTGCAGTAAATATACAGATCAAATTGATAACAGATATTTTTAAAGTAGTGAGTCCTCCAATGAATGAACATATTATATCCTCCATTTACTTAGGTCTTCCTTCACTGTTCTATTAATGGTTGTTGTAGTTGTCCGTGTAGAAGTCTTGCACATCTTTTGATTAAAATATATTCATAAAACCTACCTGATGGAGTTTTAGATCTTCTACAGTGGAGCCATCCAATAGAAATATAATACAACTCATATGTATAATTTTAAATTTTCTGGTGGCCATAATAAAGAAGTAAAAAGAAACATGATATTTTAATATTTTATTTAACTCAGGTTTTCAAATATTATATCAATATATAATTATTGAGATCTTTTACATTTTTAAATACTAAGCCTTCAAAATCCATTGTATACTTTACCATTAAAGCACATCTCAATTCAGATAAACTACCTTTCAAGTGCTGAATAACCACATATGGCTAGTGGCACCACATTGGACAGCATAATTCTACAGTCTTATTATTATGCCCACTTGACTGGTGAGCAGTGCCGGTAGTGTATTAAAGTCTCCTACTATTGGTGAGTTTCTATCTGTGTCTCCTGGCATCTTGTGGTCTCTGCTTTATATAGATGACTTGTGTTATTTACCGTATGGATAGTTGTAACTGCTATATCTTCATTGTGGCTTGTGGCATTTGCCCTCTGACATTATCTTCCTTTGTCTTGTTTCACTGTCTTTTGGCCTGAAGTCCAGTCTCTGGTAACAGGACGATAGCCCTTGCATTATTATTGCTTGGCAAATCTTTGTCCATTTGCTTGGCACATCTTTGTCCAGCTCTTCACTTTCATCATTTTCAATCGCCGTGTTTTATTCCATAAAACATAAAACTAGGGTTTGCTTTTTAATCCAACAGGACATTTTTAATATATGAGATAAGCCCATTCACATGACTCATATATTTGTACCCAATACCATCATTTTCTTTTATAATTATTGTATTATACACTGTTTCTCTACTTGGGTCTTTGCCTTTTTAGTTCTTTTGATATTTAGCAAGGTTTGTATTTTTGTTCCTGTTATTTCCATTTCTCTTCATTTTTAAATTCCAGTCATTTATTAGAATACGTCTTGGAGGTAACATTGTTCAGGGTTCACTTTTTTTTAACTTTTTTTTTGAGACAGAGTCTCAGTCTGTCACCCAGGCTGGAGTGCTATGGCGTGACCTTGGCTCACTGCAACCTCCACCTCCCGGGTTCAAGCTATTCTCCTGCCTCAGCCTCCTGAGCAGCTGGGATTACAGGTGCCAGCCACCATGCCCAGCTAATTTTTTTGTACTTTTAGTAAAGACAGCATTTCTCCATTCTCGAACTCCTAACCTCATATGATCCGCCTGCCTTCGCCACCCAAAAGTGCTGGGGTTGCGGGCATGAGCCACTGTGCCTGGCCTTAAGGGATCATTCACCTTTTCTAACTAGCTAGTATTTTCCACTATTATTCTTCAATGTATTTATTAATGTTTCCTTTGAATCGATTCTTTTGGCATCTTGTAATTTAGTCTTCCTTTGTAATATCATTCTGTCATTTTCATATATTCCTCTCCTGAGTTCGTTCATTCAACTTTATTTCTTTTTTTCTTTTTTGTACATTTGTTATTTTTGAATTTCATATCCAAGGTTACTGAAGCCCAGATAAATAATTACACTTATTTTCTTTTAGGTTTTTGTGTCAAAATGTTCTACATTAAGCCAATTAAGTATAAAGATCCTATTAAGAGGGGACAGAAACTTGGAACTCTATCGTCCTTGCAGAAAGTTTCTCCTGGCATACAATCACATGTGCACATTCAAAACTGTGACTTGAGTGATCCTACTGCATACCTGTAAATGGAAGGCAAATGGTTAGATCTTCAGAGTAAAAAATCATCTTCTTAAAAACCTGAATGCATACCCTGCTCTTCAAGAAATTGGTGTTCACAAAGGATTAAAGCTTGAAGGGATGGATACTCCATTTTCCATGACGTGATTACTATATTTTGCAGGCCTGTATCAAAACATCTCATGTACCTCATAAATGTATATACCTATGTACCCACACAATTTTTTAATTAAAAAAAATTTGAGTTTAAATAGAAACATGATAAATGCAAGGAAGAAAACATTTTAACTCATTGTCACTCTGATGTTCCAGTGAACTGCTTTCTTCAAGCTCTTTTTGTCACCTATAGAATATGGGTGGTTTTGTTGTTTAGATTTCTCAGTCCCAAAGATCTAAGATAAATAAACAAGGAAACTTAAGCTGGGCCAGGCTGCATTTTTGACACCTTTAAAAATAGCGACCTTTCTGCTTGAAAATAAAAAGCCTGTGGTACAAGAACAGCAAGTGGTTTACAATGCTAGATTTAGCATACATTTAATACATACCCAATGAATAAGTTGAGTGTAGGTAGTGGACTCTCAGCAATATCCTTTGGTTTATCATATTGGATGGAGGGGGAGCTGCTTTCATGGATAATACAGGATTTGCTGGTATTTCCAGCCACACTCGCCTACATGGTTACAAATGATGGCAGTCCAAGAAAACATTCCAGATTTCAATGAGGCTGCACTACAAGAAGGACTAGAATGAGAACGAGGCCTACCTTTATCTGAAGTGTCTCATGGAGCTGGGCCTGCCAACTTCAATTAGCCATATACATATTACAGCTACTTATTTCTATACATTTTTGTATTATATCTGTGTTATTCTGTCTTAGTTATATTGACAACAGGTACTAAGAGGAAACAAGACCATACAAATGTCCAAGGGACCAGAAATAATTCTGGCTCCTTAGAGTTAAGCCAGTCAGTAAGAAATAAGTTGAACTAATCCTTCCGGAAACTTTCCTCATTAATTTCTGCTTAACTTTGTTTGGAATGCAGAAAATGACAGCAGAATGTTTACATTCTTATGCGTAGATTGTTAAACATACTTAACCAAAGTGTGTTATTAGAGAAATGGTTGCATTTGTGCATCAGGACATATGTATAAGAATGTTCATGATATCACTATTTTTCAGAGAAAATCTTCAACGACCTAAAAGCCCACCAACAGTGAAATCAATAAATAATGTCAAAGTTATAGAATGTAATAGTCGACAGCAGTCATGATAAATGAACTCCAGTCCAGGTAAACATAACAACCTGAATGAATCATAGCAATATAATTTTAAGTTTAAAAAGTCCAAAAGATCATATAACACGATATTCTTTTTATAACGTTAAAACAGTTAAAATTAAAATACAACACAATACTTTCAGTCTTTTCAATCTCTGTGTTTTATCATACAGCATAAAATTGGGGTTTGCTTTTCAACCCAATAAGACATTTTTTAATAGACGAGCCCATTCACATTAATACAAATGGCTCATATATTTGTACCCAATAACTTTCCCTTTTTACATAATAAAATTATATAAAAATTTTATAATATATAAATTTTATACTATAAAATAAAAAGGGAAGCAAGAAAATAATGAACCCTAGTTAAAGCATGACTAGCTAGGGAGGGCCACATAAAAAGATTTAAGTTACTATCAATGCTGTAGTTTTGCAGTAGGAAATAATTGCATGGGTATTTATCATTATGAATAACATATCACAGAAACAACAGGGCTTGCATGTGGGTTGCCAGGAAGAGAGTTAATGATGACTCTCAGATAGTTGAGAATCTATGTCACACAATCCGCGCCTTCGTATATCTATTAGGTTGGTGCAAAGGTAATCGCGGTTTTTGCTGTTACTTTCAGTGGCAAAGTATATCTAGCACTGCCTGATTTGAATAGGCATCTCCTTGGTACCAAGTAACTTTAGGTTGTTTCCAGACATTTGCTTGCAAAAAATAAATGCTGTGCTCCATTAAGGACACCCAAAAAGGAAATAGCACATCAGCTCTTCAAGGCAATTTTCAAAGAAGCTCTAAAATATTTGCATAATAAAACCTATGCTTAGTTTTAAAGATAATCATCCTTCTAATTATTAGGAGGAACAATATAGGTGGATATGGATATTGCTTTAAAAACTAGACTCATGACCTGGAATGGAGAAATTCTCAAGGTAGAGCAGGAACGCTGCCTTCCCTGGGCATTCTCACATCTGCTCAATGGCAATGCAAACTTGGGGCCAGAGAACTTCTTTCTCAGGAAGAACTGCAATACAGCGCCCTCTAGTGCAACAAATCCGTGTGGGTTTTTTCTCCTTTGTCTTACAGGTTTAGATGTCAACCGTTTGGCTTAAGTATAAAAATATTACAGCCTGCGCCGACTCCGCACCACCCACTGTGATGGAGGCCGCAGCCCAGGTCTTCGTGGAGAGCCCTGACGTGGTGTACGGCCCGAGGCTATCGAGGTGCAATACGAGTACAGGACGACGCTTCAGCCGCGAGGGCGTCCTCAAGGTGCACCTACGACCACGCGCTTCACCTTCCGGACCCCCCACCCGTGCCCCGGCTCCGGGTCATACTTGTCGGCTGGGGCAGGAACAACGGCTGCACGCTGACCGTCGCGGTGCTAGCCAACCCACCGCATCTGTCCTGGCCCACGCGCAGTTGCCGCAAGGAGGCCAACTACTACGGCTCGCTGACTCAGGCGGGCACCTTGAGCCTGGGCTCGGACACCGAGGGCCAGGAGGTGTTAGTGCCCTTCAGTGCGCTGCTGCCCATGGCGGCGCCCAACCACCTCGTGTTTGATGGCTGGGGCATCTCCTCACTGAACCTCGCCCAGGCGATGCTGCGCGCTAAGGTGCTGGAATGGGAGCTGCAGGAGCAAGTGTGGCCACACATGGAAGCCCTGCCGCGTCAGCCTTCCATCGACATCCCAGAGTTCATCGCGGACAACCTCGTCCCGGACTCACGCCCGCAGCAGCTGGAGCAGATCCGTAGGGACATCCCAGACTTCCGGTCTAGCTCGGGGCTGGACAAAGTCACCGTGCTGTGGACGGGCAACACAGAGCGCTTCTGTGAGGTGGTTCCGGGCCTCAAGGACACGGCCCAGAACCCGCTGCACACCACTGGGCTCGGCCTGCAGGTGTCTCCCTCCACGCTCTTCGCCAGCATCCGGGAGGGCTGTGCCTTCCTCAGTGGGTAGCCGCAGAACACCCTGGTGCCCGGAGCGCTTGAGCTCGCGTGTCAGCGCCGGGTTTTCGTGGGCGGAGATGACTTCAAGTCTGGCCAGACCAAAGTCAAGTCCGTGCTCGTGGACTTCCTCATCAGCTGTGGCCTCAAGACCATGTCCATCGTGAGTTACAAGCACCTGGGCAACAACGACGGGCAGAACCTGTCGGCGCCATTGCAGTTCCGCTCTAAGGAGGTGTCCAAGAGCAACGTGGTGGACGACATGGTGCGGAGCAACCCAGTGCTCTGTAGGCCCGGCGAGGAGCCCGACCACTGCGTGGTCATCAAGTACCTGGGTACCTGGGTGACAGCAAGCGCACTGGGTGATTAAACCTCGGAGCTAACGCTGGGCGGGACCAACACACTGGTGCTGCATGACACGTGCCAGGACTCGCTGCTGGCCGCACCCATCACACTAGACCGGGCGCTGCTGACCAAGCTGTGCCAGCCCGTGAGCTTCTGCGCTGACGCTGACCCCGAGCCACAGACCTTCCACCCCATGCTGTCCCTGCTCAGCTTCCTATTGAAGGCGCTGCTGGTGCCTCCGTGCAGCCCGCTGATCAGTGCGCTTTTCCGCCAGCACAGCTGCATCAAGAACATCCTCAGGGCCTGCGTGGGGCTCCCGCCACAGAACCACATGCTCCTGGAGCATAAGATGGAGCACCCAGGGCCCGGCCTCAAGCAACTCGACGCGTGGCTGCCGCCTGCCCTGTGTCCAACAAGAAAGGACTGGAACCCGCTTCCACCAAAGACTGCACTGATGATGCCAATGGGCACCCACAAGTGGAGGAAGCCCAGATGCCCACCACCTGAGGCCCCTGTCACACAGCTTCCCAGCCCTTCCTCTCTGCTGGCGCCCCAGGAACCCACCATTTCAGGCCACCCCAAAGACAATAAAGCCGCTGCCACTCTCAAAAAAAAAAAAAAAATTACAAAGGTTTGAATGACAGAGGAGTAAGAGTAGGAAGAAACTTACATTTCGTTAGTAACCATGATGATAATACATACATTAAAAATTGTGGTATCAGATATTCTGTCATGTTTGATAGCTACACATTAATAATGTGAATAAAATCAATATTTATCTTGAAAAATGTTTTGAATTATCTGCAAGAGATAAATTTAACAAAAGAAAAAGGAGAGAAGTGGCCAATTTAAGAGGCCAGGTGACAAAGGGAACAATCCTTGCATCCATTTGACATTTATCACACTCTGTGGCATATTTCAGCAATCACACACCTGTTCCCTCTGTGCTATGTTATTCATAATAACAAGTACCCATAGAAAGTCGGCTCGCCTCCTGACTAACCTCTCCCATGTTCTGTACAATACTAATGAGGCCAGCAAGGATCACAAGGAAGGAAAAACAAAAAAAATAGGAGCATCCTATTTTTGTGTATCTTCAGTACAACCTACAATAAGACCTTTCCCCCATTCTCTCCATTTACCAAATTTTTGCCCACAAAATTATACAGATTTCTCCAGAATCTTCTAACAAATGCAAATGTTTTTAACATGAAAAAGTTTGCTTACAGAACTCAAATATTCTTCAAAGACTAAAGTTTGAAATCTATCTAATGTCAAACTCCTTTATCTAGAATCCACTAGTTTTAAGTAAATAGCACTTTTAATATACTTCCAAAGTAAATAGAGACATTTTGATTAGACGAAACATTACAGTTACTCTGTAAGTTCTTACCTTGTTTTGGCCTGTCATCGTCCTCTATTATGTTTTATGCTTCCATTTACTTACACAGTAAGTCAGGCCTACCAGAGAAAAGTACATGAGTTCAGGAACTTGGAGTACTCTGAGTTTTGCTCTAAGGTTCATTATAGTGCTCAGTTCACTAGGTTCAGCTACTGGGCCACTAAAAAGCATGATTTTGAGCAGCAACTTCTCATTCTACGTAGAAGAGGCCAATGGTACTAATCATCTCTCCATGCTAGTCGGCAATGGGGAGAAACTCACACCCAACCTCCTTTCTCTAGACCCTCTCTGTTTTGCTCCATTATCCTCAGTGCAAATTCCACTGGCATTCTATCACCTGACCATTCCGGTATGTAGACTCCCAACCCCTCCTAGAACATGTCATGATAGAGTGATCCCAAGTGAGACCAGAGGCTTCTCCCTTCAGAATGCCCACCACTGCTCTGATCCCGAACTCCTGCTCTCTTAAGCTATTTCTTTTCTTTGTTATTGTATCTTAATCAGATTTTTTTTTTCTTTTGTGCTGGAGTCTCATTCTGTTGCCCAGGCTGGAGTGCGATGGCACGATCTGGGCTCACTGCAACCTCTGCTTCCCAGGTTCAAGCTACTCTCCTGCCTCAACCTCCTCAGTAGCTAAGGCTACAGGCATCTGCCACCACGCCTGACTAATTTTGTGTACTTTTAGTAGAAATGGGGTTTCACCATACTGGCCAAGCTGATCTCGAACTCCTGACCTTGTCATCCATCCACCTTGGCCTCCCAAAGTGCTGAGATTACAGGCGTGTAATCTCACCACACCCAGCCCCTAATCAGCTTTTAAGTCCCCTATTACATGATGATTTTGTATCCTCCTGAAATCTTAAAGTATAAATTATATGATCTGTAATTGTTATACCATCCAGTCCTCACAAAACTGTATTATTTTTAAACAGTAAAATCAGCTCCCAGCATTTATGGAGTAGCTACTAATACAGGAATACTATTCTGAGAGGGAGGAACACATAGGGAGACATGAGAAGCCTTAGAGCTTACAGTGAGAAATAACATGGCACACTGGTGAGAATGTACACACAAATATAATCTCTCTAAATACAGGGATATAAAACTGCGTTTTTTTAAACTGCCATTTACACATCACATTGTATTCTAATTGCTTCATAGGTAAAAATACTTAAATGTTTTTCCTAATAACCCAAACTGGAAAGTGATGAACATATTTAATTCTCTCTCTTTTCATTTTACTTGATTTCTTAGACAATTCAGATACTGTGGGGGAACGTAGGGGAACAAGCTTGAAAACCAAAGTACTTAAGTAAAATTTATTGAGTGCTCACTATGTGCTAACTACTAGAATGGCAGATTCGGGAGATAAAACAGTGAGCAAAAACCAGCAGGGATCTTGCACTGGTGGAGTTTACAGTGCGATGGAACGAACCGGTAATAATCAGACCAGTCAATGATGAATTATCGCAGGAATAAGTACTGCACAGAAGAGCCAGGGTGCTGAGTGCACAGCACAGAGGGCACAACATGGACCTCACCTGTGAGCAGGGAATGGACCGGGCATCCAGGAGGGCTTCCATGATCAAGGACACACAGCTAGAGGAAAAACCTGAGGAGCACAGAGAGTACGCCAGCCAGAGAGAGGTCGGGGCAAATTCCTTGTGACTAGAGGGTGCAGGACAGTTCCAAGGAACTGAGAGGAAGTGGGAACCAAAGGGCAAGGGACAGCTTGATGGGAAATGAGGCAAAAGAAGCAGGGAGGGACCAGACCTTGCAGGACCTTTTGGGTTAAGGATAGATCTTCACCCTCAAGACAACAAGCAGCCACAAAGGAGTTCTGCATCTGTTGCTAATTACATTATAAGACCACTTATGCAGAGCATCTGGCAGAGTCCCAGATCCGTAGCAGTAGGCAGCGAATGCTGATTCCCTCCCAAAGGTATCCTGCAACATTTACTGCTTTGTCCAAATAGTCTACCAATTAACAATCAAAATGAGTATCTCTTGTATTTTCACCTCAGTATCGTTGTGAAATGAATTAGTATGTATGAGTCTTAATGGAATGTCCATTATCTCTCAATAGACAAATACAATCAGCCTTTGATATCCAAAGGTTCTACCTCTGAAACCAAACGCAAATCAAAATGCAAAATTCAACAGATGCAAAACCTGTGGATAGAGGGCTGATGTTTTGTATATATGGGTTCCAAAGAGCCAACTGCAGGACTTGAGTCTGTGCAACATTTGATATCTGTGGGGGGTCTGAGAACCAATTCCCCATAGATACCAACACGCAACTAGATATACAAAAAGCAGTTGTAATTTTATTCCCTAGAAATAAACACTCTGGAAATGGGATTAGGAAAACAATTTCATTTATAACAGCATCATAAAAAAACAAAATAATGGTAGTAACTCCAAGAAATGAAGCACAAGATATATTCTGAAAACAATAAGAGTATTGGAAGAAATTTAAGAGAACCTAAACAAATGGAAGTACATCACATGTTCTTTAATATGGGAAGAACATAGTATTATCAAGATGGCAACACTTAAAATTTACTGATAACCTTAATATAACCAAGATGTTAGTATTCCTTAAGTTAATCTACAGATTCAATTCAATTTTCTATCACAATTCAAGTTGCTTTTGTTTCCAGAAACCAACAAGCTGACTCTAAAATTCATATGGAAATAGAAAGGATTCAGAATAATCAAAGCCATTTTGTAAAAAGAAGAGCAAAGTACAGTACTCCCATTTCTAGATTTCAAATTTTACTACAAACCAACAGTAATGAAGACTCTATGTACCAGCATGGAATAGACATATAGGTCAATGGACCAGAACTGACAATCCAGATATAAATTGATTTTTGAAAAGGGTGCCAAGATAATTTAATGGGAGAAAGAGTCTCTTTTATTTTTTTAACCAACAGAATTTTATTTCATTAAGTATGAAGTTAGTTACATTCACATTTGTCTACAAACACAGTCAGTAAGAAAACAAATACTATCAGCTTTCTTGCTGTAGTACTGGATGTTCAGTGGCAGGCTCACTTAAAGGCAGAGTCAACCCTGATGGGGACTCGAGTTCAGTCACAACTACTTGGGAGGAGAACACAAAGACTACCAGCTTTCTTGTGGTGCAGGATGTTCAGTGCTAGGCTCACTTCAAGGTGGAGTCAACCCTGACGGGGACTCAAGATCAGTCACAAATAGTTAGCGGGAGAACACAAAGACCACCAGCTTTCTTGCTGTGGTGCCGAAAGTTCAGTGGCAGGGGAACTTAAAGGCAGAGTCAACCCTGACAGATACAAGAGATCAGTCACAACTGCTTGGGAGGAGAACACAAAGAACACCAGCTCTACTGCTGTGGTGCCAGGTGTTCAGTGGCAGGCTTACTTGAAGGCGGAGTCAACCCTGAAGGGGACATGACATCAGTCACAACTACTTGGGGGGAGAACACAAAGACTGCCAGCTTTCTTGTTGTGTGCCAGATGTTCAGTGGCAGGCTCACTCAAGGTGGAATCCACCCTGACGGGGACTCCAGAATAGTCACAACTACTTGCGAGACACAAAGACCACCAGCTTTATTGCTGTGATGCCGGGTGTTCAGTGGCAGTCTCACCGAAGGTGGAATCAACCCCAACGGGGACTCAAGATCAGTCACAACTACTTGGAGGGGAATGCAAAGACCACCAGCTTTCTTGCTGTGGTGCCAGGTGTTCAGTGGCAGGCTCACTTGAAGGCAGAGTCATCCCTAACGGGGACTTGAGATCAGTCACAAATACTTGGGAGGAGAATAGAAACACTACCAGCTTTCTTGCTGTGGAGTCCGACGTTCACTGAGTGGGAGGCTCACTTGAAGGCATAATGAACCATGACGCATACTCAAGATCTGTGCAAAGTACTTGGGAGGAGAACACAGAGACCACCAGCTTTCTTGCTGTGGTGTCGGATGTTCAGTGGCAGTCCCACTTGCAGGTAGAATCAACCCTGATGGGGACTCAAGATCAGTCAAAAGTACTTGGTGGGAGAGCTCGAAGACCAGCAGCTTGATTGCTGTGGTGCTGAATGCTCAGTGGCAGGATCACTTGAAGGTGGAGTCAAACCAGACAGGGACTCGAGATTAATCATAACTACTCAGGAAGAGAACACAAAGACTGCCAGCTTTCTTGCTGCGGTGCCAGATGTACCATGGCAACCTCACTTGAAGGTGGAGTCAACCCTGATGGGGACTCGAGATCAGTCACAGCTACTTCGGAGAAGAACTCAAAGACCACCAGCTTTCTTGCTGTGGTGCCAGATGTCCAGTGGCAGGCTCACTTGAAGGTGGAGTCAACCCTGATGGGGACTCAAGATCAGTCACAACTACTTGGGAGGAGAACACAAAGGCTGCCAGCTTTCTTGCTGGGGTGCCAGATGTTAAGTGGCAGGATCACTTGAAGGTGGAGTCATCCGGGATGGGGACTCGAGGTCAGTCACAACCACTTGGGAGGAGAACAAAAAGACCACCAGCTCTCTTGCTGTGGTGAAGGATGTTCAGTGGCAGGCTCACTTGAAGGCAGAGTCAACCTGAATAGGGACTCCAGATCAGTCACAACTACGTGGGAGGAGAACACAAAGAACACCAGCTTTCCTGATGTGGTCCTGGATATTCACTAGCAGGCTCACTTGAAGGTGGAATCAAACCTGAACGGGACTCAAGATCAGTCACAACTACTTGAAAGGAAAACGCAAAGACCGCCAGCTTTATTGCTGTGGTGTCGGATGTTCAGTGGCAGGCTAACATGAAGGTGGAATAAACCGTGATGGGAACAAGAGATCAGTCACAACCACTTGAGAGGAGAACAAAAAGACCGCCAGCTTTCTTGCTGTGGTGCCAGATGTCCAGTGGCAGGCTCACTTGAAGGTGGAGTCAACCCTGATGGGGACTCAAGATCAGTCACAACTACTTGGGAGGAGAACACAAAGGCTGCCAGCTTTCTTGCTGGGGTGCCAGATGTTAAGTGGCAGGATCACTTGAAGGTGGAGTCATCCGGGATGGGGACTCGAGGTCAGTCACAACCACTTGGGAGGAGAACAAAAAGACCACCAGCTCTCTTGCTGTGGTGAAGGATGTTCAGTGGCAGGCTCACTTGAAGGCAGAGTCAACCTGAATAGGGACTCCAGATCAGTCACAACTACGTGGGAGGAGAACACAAAGAACACCAGCTTTCCTGATGTGGTCCTGGATATTCACTAGCAGGCTCACTTGAAGGTGGAATCAAACCTGAACGGGACTCAAGATCAGTCACAACTACTTGAAAGGAAAACGCAAAGACCGCCAGCTTTATTGCTGTGGTGTCGGATGTTCAGTGGCAGGCTAACATGAAGGTGGAATAAACCGTGATGGGAACAAGAGATCAGTCACAACCACTTGAGAGGAGAACAAAAAGACCGCCAGCTTTCTTGCTGTGGTGCCAGATGTCCAGTGGCAGGCTCACTTGAAGGTGGAGTCAACCCTGATGGGGACTCAAGATCAGACACAACTATTTGGGAGGAGAACACAAAGGCCGCCAGATTTCTTGCTGAGTACCGGATGTTAAGTGGCAGGATCACTTGAAGGCGGAGTCATCCCTGATGGGGACTTGAGATCAGTCACAAATATTTGGGAGGAGAATATACAGACCACCAGCTTTCTTGTTGTGGTGTCGGACGTTAATCCAGTGGCATGCACACTTGAAGGCAAACTGAACCATGATGGCGACTGGAGATCTGTGCAAAGTACTTCAGAGGAGAACCCAAAGACCACGAGCTTTCTTCTTGTGGTGCCAGATGTTCAGTGGTAGGCGCACTTGAAGGTGAAATCAACCCTGACATGGACTCGAGATCAGTCACAACTACTTGGTAGGAGAACACAAAGACCACCTGCTTTCCTGCTGTGGTCCCAGATGTTCAGTGGCAGGCTCACTTGAAGGCAGGTTCAACCCTGATGGGGACTCATATCAGTCACAACTACTTGGGAGGAAAACACGAAGACTGCCAGCTTCATTGCTGTGGTGCCGGATGTTCAGTGGCAGGCTAATGTGAAGGTGGAATCAACTGTGATGGGGACTCAAGAATAGTCACAACCACTTGGGAGGAGAACAAAAAGACCACCAGCTTTCTTGCTGTGGTGCTGGATGTTCAGCGGCAGGCTCACTTGAAGGCAGAGTCAATCTAGATGGGGACTCCAGATCAGTCACAACTACGTGGGAGGAGAACACAAAGAACACCAGCTTTCCTGATGTGGTCCTGAATATTCACTAGCAGGCTCACTTGAAGGTGGAATCAACCCTGAACGGGACTCAAGATCAGTCACAACTACTTGATAGGAAAACACAAAGACTGCCAGCTTTATTGCTGTGGTGTCAGATGTTCAGTGGCAGGCTCACGTGAAGGTGGAGTCAACCCTGATTGGGACTCAAGATCAATCACAACTACTTTGGAGGAGAACACAAAGACCTCCAGACTTATTGCTGTGGTGCCGGATTATCATTAGCAGGCTGAATTGAAGGCAGAGTCAACCCTGATGGGAACTCCAGATCAGTCACGACTACTTAGGAGAAGACAAAAACCACTAGCTTTATTGCTGAGCTGCTGGATGTTCAGTGGCAGGCTCACTTGAAGCTGGAGTCAACACTGATGGGACCTAGAGATCAGTCACAACTCCTTGGGAGGAGAACCCAAAGATTGCCAGCTTTCTTGCTGTGGTGCCAGATGTTCAATGGCAGGCTCACTTGAAGTTGGATTCAATCCTGCTGGGGACTCCAGATCAGTCACAACTACTTGGGAGGAGAACAGAAAGACTGCCAACTTTATTGCTGTGGTGCTGGATGTTCAGTGACAGGCTAACTTGATGGCAAAGTCCCCTTAAGGGGACTCGAAGTCATTTACACTACTTAAGAGGAGAACGCAAAGACAACCAGCTTTCTTGCTGTGCTGCTGCATGTTCAGTGGTAGGCTCATTTAATGGCCAAGTCAATTCTGATGGGGACATGACATCAGTCAAACTACTTAAGAGCAGAACACAAAGACCACCAGCTTTCTTGCGGTGGTGCCAGATGTTCAGAGGCAGGCTCAAGTGAAGGCAGAGTCAACTCTGATGGGCAGTTGAGATCGGTAACAAATCCTTGGGAGGAGAATATAGAAACCGTCAGCTCTCTTGCTGTGGTGTCAGATGTTGATTCCGTGGCAGGCTGGCTTGAAGGCAAAGTAAACCCTCACAGTAACTCTACATCACTCACAACTACTTGGGAGGAGAACAGAAAGCCTGCCAACTTTCTTGCTGTGGTGTTAGATGTTCAGTACCAGGTTCACCTGATGGCAAAGTCAACCCTTAAAGAAACTGAAAGTCAGTCACACTACTTAAGAGGAGAACACAAAGACAACCACCTTTCTTGCTGTGGTGCTGCATGTTCAGTGATGGGCTCACTTGAAGGCAAAGTCAACCCTGATGGGGACATGACATCATTCACATTACTTAAGAGGAGAATACAAAGATCACCAGCTTTCTTGCAGTGGTGCTGGATGTTCAGTGGCAGATTCACTTGCAGGCAGAGTCAATCCTGACGGGGACTTGAGATCAGTCACAAATAGTTGGGAGGAAAATAACAAGACTGCCAGCTTTCTTGTTGTGCTGTTGGATGTTCATTCACTGGCAGACTCACTGGAAGGCAAAGGTTAATCATGACAGGGACTCGACATCCTTCCAAAGTACTTTGGAGGAGAACACAAGTATCGCCAACTTTCCTGCTGTGGTGCCAGATGTTCAGTGGCAGGCTCACTTGAAGGTGATATCAACCCTGACAGGGACTCATGATCAGTCACAACTACTTGGGAGGAGAACACAAAGACCACAAGCTTTTTTGTGGTGCCGGATGTTCAGTGGCAGGCTTACTCGAAGGCAGAGTCAACTCTTTCAGGGACTAGACATCAGTTAGAACTATTTGGGTGGAGTACATAACCGCCAGCTTTCTTGCTGTGTTGAGGGATGATCAGTGGCAGGCTCACTTGAAGGCAGAGTCAACCCTGATGGGGACTCGAGATCAGTCACATCTACTTGGGAGGAGAACACAAAGACTGCCAGCTTTGTCGTTGTGATGTCAGATGTTCAGTGGAAGGCTCACTCTAAGTTGGAATCAATCTTGATGGAGACTCAAGGTCAGTAACAACTACTTTGGAGGAGAACACAAGGACTGCCCGCTGTCTTGCTGTTGTTTTGGATGTTCAATAGCAGGCTTATCGGAAGGCAGAAGTATCTTGAAGGGAACTCGAGATCAATCAGGATTATTTTTCTTCAGTAGCAGGATCATTAGAAGATGGAATCAACCCTGCAAATAACTCGCTTTTACCTTCAATATTTGGGGGTTGGGGGAAAAATTCCAGGTCTTGGTGGAAGATTTAGAGGAAAACCCCTGGGTGGATAGGCATTCCTCACTGCAAATGGAGCATATGGTGGACCTGGGAAATAGCTTGGTGGAAAATCGCGTGGAGAAACTTCAAACAGGGTTCCTGGTGGAGGTGGGGGGAAAGGAGTTCCTCTTCTCATATCGGTAACATATGTGTAACGCTCTCTGTCAAATCCTGTGTTTGGAACATCAACTGCAGAAGGATCTTTGTGTAAAAATTTGAATTTCCTCTCTGTGTCAGCTAATTTTTGTCTGTACTTAGCATTTTCTTTCCTGAAGCCATTGAGGTTTATTTCAGCAGTCCGAGCTGCCAACCAATTGTCATGTGCTTTTTTCTTAAGGAGTAAAATCTGCTCTGGATAAGAAAGAATCATTCTTTCCAACTCTTCTTCAAGATGTTGAGCTTGCTTTCTATACTTGTCCAGCTGGTCAGTGGTATAATTGATCTTTTCGTCTTGTTTAGTAAGTTTCTCTTGTCTCTCTAACTGGTTATTTTCCTCTGCAGTGAATGTTTTGTAAAGTCTCATTGTTGTTTCTTCATGTAATTCAGTCATTATTTCAAGTTTCTGTTGAAGCTTCCGATTCTCACTTTTAAAACCTGTGTTTTCTGATTGCAAAGATGCTTGTTCTGACTCAAGATGTTTAATATGCCCCAAAAGCTGCTTCTCTGTTTTATCAATTTCAGACAATTCAGTATAAATTTGGTTTCTTTCGCCTTCTAAACTTTTTAAATAAGCATTTGACTTAGCAGCATCAATCAGTTTTTTCAAAGCTCCTTTTGGATGATCAGCTAAGGAAGCGTCACTTTCTGACTCACTCTTCATTTCTACTTTCGAGTTATGATCGTCCATCATGTCTTCTCCAAGGATAGCAGCCCAATCTTTCATGTTGAGCAAGTGTTTAGTCAGCGTCTTGATGTCATCGTCTTTGTCATTTAGGACTTGTTCTGTGTGTACATTGGAGTCTTCAAATATTATTTTCTGCTTATTCAGTTCACTCACTTGTTCTTTCCATGCTTCAGCTTCCTGCAAAAGATGTTTCTGGCTTTCCTGAAGTTCAGAATTTTCATTAAAAGCATCTTTTATAGCTACATTCAGTTGTTTGCCATTCATTTGAAATATGTTCAAGGGCATTGTGGCTTCAGCTACACGTGATTTCAGGGATTTTGACAGATCTTCTAGAGACTTTCTGATTTCTGAAATATTCTCCATCAACTGATGTTGTCTAGAATGTATGTATTTCTCCTCTTGTAACTCTTTTTTTAGATACGGTATTTCCTCCTCCATTTCAGAAACGGACCTGTTCAGCTTTTCACAGGTTTCCTCCAAACTCTGTGCTTCTGCTGCGTTCTTCTCAAAGCTCACGTCCTGTAAAGATGACTCTCTTTCATAGCCTTCATAGCTTTTCTGTAGAAAACTAAATTTATCAAGCAGTTCACATTTTTCTCTAATTTGCTCAGAAAGCTCTGCGGCAAGCTTTTTCTCTCTTCCCAGATATCGCCGACTCCTGACTGACCTAAAACTTCTCCAGAAAAAAAGGGGAATAGCAACAAATCCAATAACACCTGCCCATATCACTAATTCCCACGGAAAACCATTAGAATTTGATACCATACTTTCCAGCAGTGCCGCCAGAATCCTGGGTAGCTTCTCCATGACCAGCCCCAAGTAAGGCTGAGGAGTAGCTCCAGGCTCCTACATAGCGCCAAGGCTGTTGTGGTGGTCGCCGCGGTAACCCCAGACTTGGAATCAGTAGCCTTCAGTCTGGAACTGGAGCAGACCACTGCGGAACCGGCTGTGGGGGGAGCTGTGTACAGGGGTGGGGATGGTTGAGGGCACTGGAGAACAGGTAGCCTTCATTCTGGAACCCAAATCCACATGAAGCAACTGGAGCAGACCACTGTGGAACCAGCTGGGGGGGAGCTGCGGGATGCGGACACCCACAGGTCTCACAGGCCCACGCTGCCCACCCCGACCCCCATGTTACACTTTACATCTTGAGGTGGTGCACGTCTCGGCCTGACACCCATTTAACTGTTTTTTATTGGTAATATCATATTGTGTTAATTACTTTAGCTTTTTAATAATAAAGATTTCTAAAGGAGAGACTGCAAATTTATGATTCTTCAAAATTGCCTTGGCCCTTATTGACACTTTGCTCTTCTATGTGAATTCTACTATCAACATGTGAAGTTTCATTTAAAAAATCATTTTGGCTATTTTTTTTT